GTTTTAAAATACTGCCCTGAGACAGAAAGATTACACTGAATACAACAATCTCACTCTACCTTGAGTAAAGGTTTTGTTTTGTTTGGTTTGGTTTGGTTTTTATTTTAGCTGTACTCACAAGCTATCATTTTCAAAATTTAGGACAAAATTACCTTGAATTCATGGGCATCAAGGTTATCCATACTGTAACATGTTCTTTTCCACACCCGACATATCAGGTAAGAGAATCATAGCAGGATCTCCCAGGAATATAACAGGATGGATTTGATCAATCAACAAATAGTATTTGAGCAGCCACTGTGCCTCTAGCACTGAATTAAGTGTCCTTGCAGGAATGAAAGTCTATTCTGTTTAAATAACTGCCATTTAGAGTATATGGCTTGTACCAAACAGTGCTTTACATATATTGCTATTCCCTGACAAACAATTTTGTCAAGTTGGTATAATGATCCCCGTTTTTCAGAACGGGAAGCTAAAGTTCAGAATGTCACCAAGCCTGAGATAACAGTACTAAGCAAGTAGTAGAGGCAGGATTTGCTATCATGACTTTCTTGCACCATCTATGCTATGCCTTGTCACATAAAGCATTTTGGATGTTTGTCATAGTACGTAACACACAGAACCTGTCTGCCAGCCTGGGATAAAAATATCTGCAGCTGATGGCTGAAGTGTTTACAGTAACCTTTGGAAGACTGTCATAAATCACAAAAGCTGCTATATTGCTGCTGAAAAGCTTTCCAGGGTACTTGAGAACCTGCATATCCAAGGCCCAATTACTATGGCTGACTGGCACCACCAAGATGATGAGCTAAAAAATCAGTCCATGCAAAGTGACTTAACTCCAGAAATACAAAGTGCAGGATGAAACCATGATTTGAACATATCCAACTCTATGGATGCAGCAATCACTTTGGCAAAGCAAGCTGTGTGTGTGTGTGTGTGTGTGTGTATTTGTGTGTTTCTATGTGTATGCGTGAAGTAAAATGGTTATGTACTTGGAGAAGGAGAGGATTAGCGTGTTCAAGGGCAACCGTTCTGGCTCCTACATAATACACATACACACACGATACCATGTCAAAGAATTTATACTTTTAAAAATAACCCATTAGTGCAATCTATAAATTAATATTATCTTATTCGTATACATATATATGTATAATTAGGTTAAAATATTCATTAGGGATTTCTAGTGGGTGAGATAGTGTTTAAGGGAACAAACAGCAGTGAACCAAGCAGACACAGTCTCTACTTTCATGAAATAAAATTCCAGGGGGCAGAGACAAATGGCAAACAAATACATAATTCGTTAGGAGGTGAAAATTTTTATGAGGAAAAATAAAGCACGCTGAGCAGATGGAGACTGGGGATGGGCACAGGGTATGATTGTATAAAGTGGTCAGAGAAGCCATTCCAACATGGTGGCACTTGAACAGAGACCTGCATGAAGTTATGAAGGTAGCCAAGCAGACATCCGGACTAAGTATCTTTGAGACACAGGAACAGCAGTGCAAATGCTCTAAGACTGGCATGGACTTGATGTGTTTCATTAAGGACAAGGAAGTTAGACGGACAAAAGTGGAGGCAGTTAACAGAATACAGTAGTAAGAGATTTTGAATCAGAGAGATCTCAGAGGAAAACATTTTATTAGGGCATGGTAGACCATGGCAAGGATTTTAGAATTCATTCTCAGCTGACAAGTTATCATCTTTTCACTAATTCCTCGTTTGGGGTGTTATGAAGAAATCAACTGGGGGAATAGGGTAAACAGAAAAGCAAAGGCAGGAAAGGGGCATGCTTGTTGTGAAGGGGTGTATTATGGGTTCTACACTT